TTGTTTGTTTTGTTTTACTGAAAAGCAGCCATGGTAGTCAGATTAAACTGAAGCACTAGGAATGTAACCCTTTCGTCCATATATGTACTACATTCCTCTGAACAAAATCATACACATGCACAGGGCGTATGCTCACATATTATGCTAAATTATTATGCAGTTTGTTTGATATTGGCTCAGCGTCTTTGTGAACTAGCTACTGTTATTTATAAACCATATTTTCTGGTTTATCATTGTATATTAAGCCCATTAACCTTATTTAACAAATGTGTCAATGACACAAAGCTGCTATTAGCTTTGCTAAAGAAAAACAGAAATAATAATAGAGGGGCTTGTTAGAGATTTCAATCAAAAAATGGAGTGTCTCCTCCCCAATGCACCTGCTCTGATCAAAATCAGAATTACTGTGGCTGCATTTAAGAGTTTCTTTCTTTCGATTAAAGAAATACAGTAAGGTTATATTGCCTGTATATTGCTTATACTTAACAAAAATGATATAACATCTGCATATTTAAGGCTCTCCCAAGCTGTTGATTTACAGAATAACCTGATCATCACTGTGTTATACATGGTGTTTTCATTCATCATATTTTGCCAGTGATGACTAAATGATACTAGAAATCACTAGTGTTGAAACAGTCACAGTATAGTGCAATGACACAATAGGAATTAATGGTTTATAGCCGCTATACTCACCAAGCCAATTAGTCTAAGAATTTCTGAGTTAAGAAAGGAATTCTCATTACCATCTAAAAGTGTGATCAAGAGAAATTTATTCCATGGGTGCGAGGCAATATGGCATGCTAGAAGTGGAGAAATTTACCACAAATAGCTTAGAAAGCAATCTAAGAAAGGAACCCCAAATTAAATATATTATTCATAGTGTACAGAGTTAAGTCTTTGTTTATGTCATCAAACAAGATTTTAAAAATTAATACTCAACAAAGAAAAAACAATGGAAGTAAAATGTAATTTCTCTCACAAAAATACTCTTTATTACTGCCTACAATTTAAACTGTTTAATTCATTCAAAACCAAAATAGTAGTAGAAGAAAAGATATATCCAGATAATATAAAATCTAGGAAAGTTGCTATATTATTCAGTAATGAAATTAGATTATTAAGATATCATTTTCTGCCATATGTAAAATATAAAACATGGTTCAGTAGAGCTTATTCTGCTTTTATCTCACTGGAAAATATATTATAAACTTCACATTCTATTTTTAAAAATTCATTTAAATTGATTCCCCTCTCAAAGCTGTCCTTACCCTACCCATGGTCTTTTACATTTTCTGTGAAAATTTTCTCTAACCAGTTCATTTCCCAACAGACAAAAACCCCAGTAAACCCTAGATAACATGATCAGTATGGGAATTAGGATGGTGTGCACTCGTTTCTGCACTAGCGACTTATATCATCTTCACAGCATCACCCAGCCATAACTGAATTGATATAAAGCTTCTCCACATTATTGTTATTTTGGTACAATGATGGTTGGATAACTTTAGAAGAGGTTATAAATCACTTGTTCAGAAAGTATCCTGGTTTCACACATATGGACAGCACCAAGTTACAGAAGGCTTTTTTAGGGAATTTATCACAGATAACCTTAGGATATTGGCTGTCATTTATCTATAGGATAAATGATTTTTTAGGAAAGGTAGTAGAAAAGGTGGTCGTGTGACAGCTTCAGAGGATCCTGGAGGAAATGGATTATCTGGACTCCTATCAGTCAGGTTTCAGGCCCAGTTATGGGACAGAAACAGCATTGGTTGCACTTTTAGATGATCTCTGATGACAGCGGGATAGGGGTAGTGCGTCCATTCTTGCTCTTCTTGAACTCTTGGCGGCTCGACCATAGTATCCTTTTGGGTTGGCTGCAGGTGGTGGGGGTGGGAGGCACAGTTCTGTGTTGGTTCAGCTCCTATCTCCAAGGCCAATCCCAATCGGTGTTGATAGAGAGCGAGAGGTCCAACCTGTGGCCTCTACTTTGTGAGGTCCCTCAGGGTTCGGTGCTCTCACCACTCCTATTTAACATCTACATGAAACCGTTGGGTGAGATCATCTGGCACCATGGGATGAGGT